GGAGAGGGGGATCATGTAAATTAGAGATTATCCCGCAGTTAGCCCAACCGTAATGCCCCCTGGGAGGCTCGCCTATACGGCCCGGTTGAAAATTACTAATAATAATAATAATAATAATTATTAAGAAATAGCTAAATAGCTTTCCGCTATACATTTCTTTAATAACCAATAGCCATATTGCTCTGTTAAGTATACAAGAGAAATCGAACAAATCCTATTATATCTTATAAAAAGATCTGGGTGGTTGATAATCATTAGGTACTTTGGAGATTATCTGTTTTGTATATATACATATACAATTAGAGTATTCTTGTTTTAGAAGGCCTTTAATCCTTATTCCTTTTATAGCAAATACTAAATATTCAAGTGCTTCCTTTTCAAGATGTTCTGTTTTCTTGTACTATAATTCTGCTTGATTCTTCCTTAGGATTGGAGTGTCCCTTAATCGTCTAAAGGATTTGTTAATCTTACAAAAAGCAATAGGATATATGAGATTACAATTTGAGATTAGAATAGAAGAATAAAAGGAATAAGACTTCATTTCTAAAAATACAAGATTGTTATATCTAATATACTGAGCATATACCTTACTCTCTATTATATCCCTAAAGTGTAGAGTAATATTAAAACCACTAAATTATAAACCTAATTTAAACAATTATGCCTCGGAAACAATATTGATATGGAAACCAGGAATCAGAGCGATATCTATAAGGATCAGATCCTTATCATTAAGAATGCCTCTCATTGTTCTCTGACCTCTTCCAACAACTTGATAGAATATTAATCCTGAGTCCACCTGATCATCCTCGGAGGATTGATAGTATAATTGATTATTCAAAAGAGATATATCGTTGATAACATGCAATGCTCTATAGTTATCAAGGAGGGTAAAGTTATAGAATTCAAACTTTAGTCTTGAAGTCGAGTTGATTGTGAATATCTTTAGTATGGTAATATCTATGAATTTGTCTGGCATTTTAGCAATAGATAAAGTGGTATTATAAGATGATTCTTTTATTTATCCCTTACTCCTGAAAATACTGTGAAGGTATTTCCATTTGTTCATAATTCTTTGTTTAATCTCCTTGATCTAATCTGTAGAGAGAGTTATACTTAAATAATCAATACATTTTCCAATCAAAGCAATTTCCATTTTATTATAATTTTTAGAATTCTATTTATAAAAGTTATGCCTTTATTTATCTTTCTTAAATATATAAAAACATTTTGCTTTTCCAATATTCTTATCAGAATAGGAATCCTTAGATTGATCTTGTGAAATTCCTTTGAATGGAATAGGTGGTTTGGACTGCTCGATAATATAGATTCCTTTTATCTTAGGTAATACAGTATCGCAGCTTATAATACCCCCGAATATTGTAGCTACCTATTAAAGCATCTAATATTCTTAACCTAAGTGAATCTTTTCATCAATCTCATCGATTTTATATTGAGCCTATAAAGATGCCATCCTAATCCCAATAGCATTGAGGAAAGTGCAGATGATTAATAGTCCATAAATATCTAGAAATCTGTATACAGATATCTTTGAATAAGCAATGCCCCAATCCCAAAACCATTTGATTGGATCAGTTTATCCACTGAATACCTGAGCAATCAGTGTACAGTATTTGAATTGAACAATCATTTCAATGACTTGATGAGATAATGCCAATTTGTTATGGAACAAAAGGATCACTTTATGAAGTGGCTAAGCTTTTGATCCCTTATTTGAGAAGAATAGTTCTATAAAATAAATTGGATCAACAATTGATTAGATCTATTTATAGATTTGTTGATAGGATTTGTACTTGTTATCATATATCATTTTCTCATTATGATATAATCTATCAAGAATAGTAAATAAGGGAATTACATCGATAATAGATATAAGTATAAACTTAGATAATAGCAAAGGAGCAATTGGGTGATCAATTGATTCCTTCATTTCTGTATTCCCATCTTCACTTTTCTGTTCAGAATACTTGGTATAATATTTAACGAGCTTTGCCTCATAAACGTGCCGCTTAGCCCTATCCTGTTTCTATCGAATGCTCTTGAGAGTTAAAGGAATAGGTAAAGCTGTGGTTAGCCAATCGATTACTTCAAATAATGATTCTAAGGAGAGAGAGACTAAAGGATTTGTTTTTAATAGAAATTCAGGATCAATTTTATTTCAAATATCTTCTAACTAACATTTAACCCTAAGAGCATCATACCAGACTGGCCAATCCGACTGGGTGATAAGATATACTGATGGATATATATATTACATTGACATGATTGATCCGAGTATTTCGGCAATGAAAATTTGGATTTTCAGATATGAATCGTGATATACCCATTCTTGATTACAAGAGTGATCTATAGCAAGATAGCTGTATTTAAACGCGAATCGGGCTTATAACTATTGTACAGGATAATAGCATATCATAATAGAGGGGAATGATTGAACAATAATAGTATAAGTATAAGAATATATATATCTCCTTATCTACAATTAAAACTGATCTCTTTTCGTAGAGAAGAGATTGGATTATATACTAGGTGATCTTCGGGTACCAATTACAGAAGCAGTGATCGGTTCTACGGCCGATCCGGTTATCATTGTTCCGCTCCGGAGTATTCTATATAATGAATACCTGATCATCACATGATCTGATCCACGTGGTCTACAACACCGTTTCCGTCACAAGTATACAAATAAACTGAATGAAATAGTTTTAGTAATTATAGAAATGAGTATTTTGGAGGAGTATTAGGATTAGTTCTGTAGGGTTATATCATACGGTGAATTCCGTGACATTTTTCTAATAAGTTTTTCTAATAAGTTTTCTTAATAAGGTTTTTTAAATATAAGTTTTTTTAAACATAATTAATAGTATATTCACTTACTTAATAATATAAGTATAATAATACTATATCTATTAACTATATATTATTTATTAGTTATTGTTGATTCGAGAAGGATACGAAAGACGTAGCACTCACGTATTCGTAGGTCCTAAATGTCTAATTGTATTCTATCTAAAGAGCTAGCTAAGTGGGAAAATAGTAGGCCTTATATAGTCACTACTGAAAGAGCTAGTCTCTTTCGCATTCGCTTAATACCTTTATCACGGAGGTAATAGCTATGTCTAATGGTCACTTTGATCAGGAGATAGGTATATAGAGTGATAATAAACTAGATTGACTTGAGGTGTGATCATAAGGATCATACCTGCTTTATATACCCTGATCAGGCGATGGAGTCGCCTAATTAGGTATATAGGGTACACAAATGAACTGAGTGAAATAGTTTTAGTAATCATGGGAATGAGTACTCCGGAGGAGTACTAGGATTAATACCGTAGGGTTACACTATACGGTGAATTCCGTGACAACCTTTGATACAGTAGCTATTGTATTAAAGTGATTCCTTTGAAGTAAATACCCTTGTTCACACAGTTATATATTCAATAAGTAAACTATTACGGAGGTAATAGCTATGTCTAATGGTCACTTTGATCAGAAGATAGGTATATAGAGTGATAATAAACTAGATTGACTTGAGGTGTGATCATAAGGATCATATCTGGTTTATATACCCTGATCAGGTGACGGAGTTGCCTAATTAGGTATATAGGGTATACAAATGAACTGAGTGAAATAGTTTTAGTAATCATGGGAATGAGTACTCCGGAGGAGTACTAGGATTAATACTGTAGGGTTACACTATATGATGAATTCCGTGACATAAACTAATATAATAGAATATTAAAGTAATAGTTAATTCGAGTCTATTAGAATATTAAATACTTATATTCTTATTATTCTAATAAAATTATATTGAATCTTCTTAACTCTATTTCTTTATATTAAAATTCAATTTTATCTAGCTTCGGGCTTAATTATTACTTATCTTGAGTATTTATTCAACACTAGTAATTCGCTATTGTATACAGTCACTGTGTATAGATAGTAGCCGATCACCTAAATTGTCACAGGGTGACACTAAGCCCTTTCTGTCCTGTCCTGTCCTGCTATATATGTGAGAGTAAGGTAGAACTTTCAGTTCTACCTCCTAGTCTTTTGGGCGTTTAGCTCAGCGGTAAAGCTTCTGAATACTCCCAGAAGTGATCCCGTGACATAAATCATACTAAAAAATAGTGATTTACTATATTTTGTATAATTATTTATTAATATTTATAATCATTTTTTTCAATTAAATCTTTCTATATATATTATTTATATAATAATGATCGATATTCTCAGTTTCTTAAGTTTAATTTGTTGAACTAGTTAAACAGCTAGATTTCAGCTATTTTGAACTAGATTTCATAGTAAGGCGGAGGATAGATTCTATGACTTGACTACGATTTTTTCTCGGAGTTTTTTTAAATTACAAACAAAGAATTGCGTTTTAGTTGTTATAAGCTAGAGTCCGAGGGATGAAAGAGTAAAACCGTGGAACCGTCTTCAATTTTGAAGTGAGAGTAATTCGCCGTATGATAATATATTAGTATACATTTAACCTTCAGACTATTTTTCATGCGAATGTCTAAATAAAGTATTGGGCTTGGAATGCCATATTTCAAAGCTGCATGATCATAATTGAAAAGTAATTTTGTGAAAACTTGAAAGCGTTTTAATGAAATTGCTGTCCTTGGTCGTCCTTATCTGTATCTCCACGAAGAAAGACGATGTCTCGATCTCATCACCGTACTAAAATTACATCCCACCTTCTGGAATCACAATATACGCGCTTCTTTCCCAATATTCCAAGTTAGAGAAGTAGTGACTACATGCTTCATCAACACATACACAAGCTTCATCATGGACATTAATGAATTTTCCACATCGACAGAACGGGTTCAACATATCATTTTCCAGTAGGGGCAGTGATACAAATCCAAGCGGATGCCATCTAGGAGGGAATGCATGTCGAAATTACTTGAAAGCCAGCTATCCCCCTCTTCCAGTCGTCGGTAAGTTAGTAGTTCGGTTTGTACAGCTGCTCACAGTTTTCCTACAACATCGCTTCGTCCATAGAAGTTATTGTTCGGTTCGTCGTGGTCGCACACTGGAGAATGTGTTTCCGTCTCCGCTTCATTTTCATCTCTATCTCCACTTCGTTCATTCATGTCGACGTCACTATCACTGCCATACTCTAGAAAAGCCGAGAAATCGTCGCCGCGATTCATCGGGTTCACACTTGAACGCGTTGTGACTTCGCTGGATCTTCTTTCATTCCCAGCGTAGCGTAAAACACTGCAAAAGACGTTCCATCCTAATCTTGCATCGGAAGTCCATGATGAAATAAGCGTGCGGGGGATCTTATCCGCAATATCAATTGGCTCGAGAAGTTCATGACTGCATTCGTTTGCATTGTCTCGGTCTGTAAGCGCTTTCATCGAGATGGCTGCCCGATCAAGAGGATTTGCACCATTTGCTAAAAGGCACACCAGAACTGCAAGTATGCCAAAAAGATTCTCGTCTTCGCACCCACTTTCTGCAAGATGTAAAGCTACCAGAACAAGTGAGTGGAGGGGTAATAGCTGGAGTTTGTGCCCACACTTTTGACAGTGTTTCATAAAAAAGCCCGCTTGGCGTATCGATCTTAGGGGCATATGATGGTCCAAAAATACGGCCGATACAGTGACAAATAGTTTGGACGGAGGTATGACAGAACATGTGCTTCCAACCGATTGGGATGGAAGCATTGCCTCCAGCTAAGTGAGAGCGGACGCACGGCGAATCTGCATCCCATCTCCCACAAATGTCAACTTCTTCTCCCGGCCAATGATTCAAGTCTTTGAAAGAATTGTCTACAGTTAATGGTGAGCAAGACGTATGTGATTTCAGGATTGCCATCATGAGATTATCCAAGACTGTGTGGCCACGATCGTTGATGAAGAGCTTGCGCACAGAGCTGTATTCGCCCATCTGATTCACCAATGCGTCGAGAATATTGCAACATGTTTTAGACCCATCTAAAAAGCTTGTTGCTAGATGTAAAGGATAGAGATTACTATTCAGCACGACTGTAGTTTCGATTCTGGGCAAAATCTTCCAAAAGAGCTTCGGATTCCTGGTCATGATGGCGAAACCAAAACACTCCATCAATAAAGCAGAAGATGAAGTTTTCGCAGCTTCTGACAATGACGTGGTAGTGATAGGCAGATCAAAGGCGCAAATATTACTGAAGAGATTATTTTTCAACGCAGCTCTCAGCTTTCTCGCAAAGTTGGTGGGATTGCGATTGGCTTGCCATCTCTTCCAAGTATCAGGGTCACGGGTATCCAAATCTCCATTCTCCCAGTCTTCACTTTCTGGCTCTCCACTCACCGAGTCTTCACTGTCGCTCAAGCCTTCTGAGTAGACAGAACCAGGACTCGATATTCCTGAGTAATAGACACCGATGTTTGCGTGAATGGCCCACCGGCATAATTGAGCTGGATGGAGGTTTGAATCTGATGATTCACCAATGATATCAATGGCAGCGCTACTCCTAGGGGTTGCTGGTATCTCTCCATTGAAGTTTGGCGTATTTGACAAGGATTGTGATACTTTATCTCGATAGCGATCAAATTCGAGAATATCTGACGTCCAATTTCTTGGCCCAACGCCCCAATACTTGGCTGTCTTGAAGGAGAATAGCCAAATTGATAAAGCCATGTTGTTAGTGTCCTAAGATAATGTTAGATAAAGCTACTATGTATGTGAGCCATATGTAGCCTGTTGCAATATGTGCCTTACATTTTCTCTAGTTTGCCCATACGCTGTAAAAGCTTTTCGTGATCACCACCAAGAAAAAGATCCGTTCTTTCGCGCTGAAATTTTCCTCTTAATACAAGCACAGTAGGAGATGGCGCATCTGACAGAGATGGGCCGTTAATAAAAGGACTGCCTCCGATCCTGTTGGCACTTGGACTGACTACAGAGATGTCACTTGGCGTCGAGTCTGTTGTCCAGTATGGGGATCGATGATTGGCTGCTGCAGATGTAGACGACGAGAATGCACGATATGGTAAGTTCCAACGTATGAAACTAGCAAAAGTATCAGTAATCAATGATTAATGTAGTAAACGTGTTTAAATATTACGTATTTCCGCCTGAGTATAGTACTGCCATGTTTTTATTGTGTGTCCTCTCTAGCTCAACTATGTGTCGACGAAGTCGCTTCTTGTCTATCTCACCTCCTTTGTATCTAATAACAGTAGTAGATGTGCTATCATCCCGGACGCGTTTTCCGAGGGCAGTGACAGCAGCTTCCTTTTTTTCTTTAGGGACGGACTTTGTCAAGTTCCATTTCTTCAGATAGTACTTGTACTGGTATTCACTGTGAATACATAGTCAGTATGAAGTGCCTAGCCCATTCATGGTGAGTAGTCTTCACTTACAGAGCCGAGAATTGTAATCTTGATTTGATTTTTGATTTGATTTCATTTACGTCCACGTTCAGTCTAAGACTATATAGGACGGCTAGGCCTCTAGAGGCTCTAGCAGGTAACTTTTTATTCTACAAAGATGGATATATTCGATTTAGGGAAGTGAAAACAAATGTTGGGGACCAGTGCCCACTTATTATACGCATTGCATATAATAAGAATTTGTAATCTTCTTTCATTATTCTAGCAACGTCTGTTACGTTACGATTGTTATCGACGTATAAGGAACGTATTGTGGGCTGAAATAGATCCCATCTTTTGGCATAAGGAACGCTAAGGAAGTAAGGGTCGAGTTCTTGCGATATGCTCGAAGCCATGAGTAAGAGAAAATGATGTGTTCAATATATATCTGGAAGGCCATGATCAAACATGCGAGGGAAATTGTCTGTTTATATAGAGAACTCACAAGGCTGAATGCTACCATATCAATGCTCGAAAGGATGAAGTACATGGTAAAGTTTCACTGGGTCGTTAAAAAAGCGTGTGGAGGCTTGCCTAGGTATTGCCAGTGGCGTCTTTAGCTAGCCGATGGTGGGAGCACGATAGCACCACGTCTGCCGACTGTGCATTCGGTGAGTGGGCGGGTAATAGAACAATAGAGCAATGGCCAATGGGAATCTATCAGAACGTTACATACTTACACCCCACTTATGAACAGCCTCAGGGGCATTGATATGCACACTATCTGACACAGCGTGAACAAAAGGACAATGGCCAATGATCATTATGCAAACATAGCTCGCATAAGCAGCTTCCAATGCGTCACCTGACAAGGGTGAGCAGGACTGTTGAGCAAGGATTCTTTTAACCGAAAACAAAAGTTGAACAGCGAATTATAGTCATTTCCAGACGACCAGCATTTACTTCAGACAAAAGAACACAACCCAACCAGGAAGAAGATAATCACTAGCGGCTGCTGATAATGTCACAGCTCATGAACATAGGAAGAGTACCCAATGAAAAACTACAACAAAGTTCAAGAATTCAATGCTTTTGCTGTGATTCGAATGTGACCTTCCTCGGAAATTGTAAACTAGATGATCATCGATTAAAAGTGCCAAGATATGGATTGATCTCCTAGGTAGGTCAGAAACGTAGGGATTCTGGAAATTCTTGGGATGTTCGCCCGAACATACTATTGGCTGAAGCCACAACAAACAGGATCATAACACTGAACAGGTCAAGAATTTGAGGGATTAGGCAATGTATATTCTGACCTGAGTAGCACAGATCCTATAGATTGTAGTTTAGACTGCATGAGAGCAATAGATCTGGAACATCTACGTCAAATGTCAGTTTTGAGGCTTGCCAGATATGTTGTCTTTTCTCAAAAGAGTGGAATACGGGTGCGTTATGCTCCGAGACTATCACGCCCGGACACAACTACCAAGTATTGTATATAGCTGTCCCCTCCGCTCCTATATCTACACATCTTTACCGTTCTTCGATCTCTTCTTCTTTCCCAATTCAAATCCAAAGACCTTGGTTGTGACTTGCACTAGGTAGCTATAGGACAATGGCTCCCGTGAAGATTAAAGGGCAAGGCGAGGCCCGAGAAAGGTATGCTACCTGATTCTTGGTATTCTTCTGATTATTGTGTTGAGATAGCGGTTTTAACAGTCTTCATGTAGTCCTGAACATACTTCAAGGGATTATTTCTCGAGAGCCACTACCGAACCTCATATATCTTCTGACAGTGTGGTGGTCGAAACCTGCGACGTTATCACAAGACCAGCTTTCGTTCACGAATACCTCCATATCCGGCGAGCGTGTACACCTTCCTCATATCAGAGTTCTTACCACTTGATTCGTCAATGCTCTCAGGATAGGCAGCATGATCTCCAAGGGATCGGTGCGCAATTTGGGGACGTTTTTTGGACGATTTTCGCCAGACACTTTCGGCGGATATCCCACCATTTCTAGACCTCACAAGCTATTGTCCATATCACTCTCAGCTACTGCTATCTGATTTGCAAGGCGAGGGTACTTCTGCATTAAAACAAGCAAAGGATGCAGCCACCTACCAATCAGATGATTAATGCCATGTGACGAAAACGAGGTTGTTGGTGCAGGCATAGTAGGGGGAATATCAGCTGCTGAAAGGACCATCCGCTGTGGGCCATGGTATTAGTGGCACACAACGAAGAAGACAGGAGCTGTTCCAACGGGGTTCATAGAAGAGGTCTTTGACAGTATGGAAATTGGGGGCAGGGAATCTATGCTTTCGTAATCCAAACAACATGGCCCAATGGTCATTGAGGCCAAGGTTATGGATACGTACAAGATGATAGCGACCACTGAAAGGATATCATGAGGTGTAGAGGAGCCTGCATAGAAAGGATGGGAACTGCCCAAGATCGGGCAAAATGACAAAGAATTTCACGTGTTTCACACCAAGGCAATGAAGAAGGTTAATATTCTTGACGTAATTTCATATTTGCCCATAGCTCGCTATTAATTATAGCTGTGTTCCGACCGTAGTCAAGCAGTAGGTTGGTATCTCAGGCTTATGTGCCATAATATCCATGCAAATATGTGAACCATCCATCCTTGATAACCAGTATGATACAGCGTAAATGTATCCGAGTAATTTACTTGAGAGGAATGAAACGGGAAGAGTGGGTAGCACCGATACCGGGTCTTCCGTGCTTGACTGGGCGGCTGTTTTGGAGTTAGTATGAGCTTCCATTGCGAATAACTTCAAGCTTTCGCACAGAACATAATAGGAAATAACTTACTAAGAGATAGAGAATTCGGCCAAGTAGTGACCAACCATCTCAGGCTTGATTTCGACTTGGTTGAACTCCTTTCCGGAGTAGATACCGATAACGCTGCCAATCATCTCTGGGACGACGATCATGTCTCTCAAGTGAGTCTTGACCAAATCTGGCTTCTCGTTTGGCTGAGCCTCTTGCTTGGCCTTGCGGAGCTTCTTGATGAGACCCATAGGCTTGCGCTTCAAACCACGGTTGAACCTACGGCGAGCACGAGCGTGGACGACATCGCGGAGTTGGTCGGAGGAGAGGTCGAGGAGTCTATTCGAAGAATATAGGGTTAGCTACTATGAGATCCCCTTTGATATTCATGTTGTGGATTTGTTAAGGTAGGCATACTGGTCGAGGTCGATTCCACGGTAGGAAAACTTGCGGAATGCTCTCTTTGCCTTGATCTCGGCAGCCTTTTGGGCATCCTATTAAATTGGAAAAATTGGTTAGCCTCCCATTTCATTCCAAGCTGCCTCCATAATTTCCAAAGAAATTGGCTTCAGAAATCCCAAACAAAAAAATCGACTGCTCACATATTCTTCGTCGGCCATCTTTGCGGTTGGGTTCTTTCAAAGGTTGTCGAAAGGATGGAGTTGTCGTAAAGGAAATGTTCGCCGCCAAACTGAGTCCAAGTGCCAGAAAGTTTGCAAATTTTGGTCTCGCTTAGATTTCGGCGCTAAAATAGGGCAAATATCCCAGATGACCTCTCAGCCTCGTGCTTTTCCCCATGCAAATATCGATGCCGTATCAAATCAAGGATAACAAGGGTGTTTGGAGGGGTGTCAGATAGTAGATAAAAGGATTATGAGTGGCCTTGATTGGCGTCTGAATTTTATGTAGAGGATAATATGGGGTTCTGTACGGCTTTCAGATAACCTTGATTTCACAAGTGAAGATTTTCCAGCAGTATTTGTTGGCAAGCATTTAACTACAGATGTTCTACGAGATCATTCGCATTTGCACATCACATCACATCAATTCATAACATATCACACCATATAAATATTTATCCTGCTAAGATGCTGTTGATGTTTGAAGAATCACGTCTTTATTGCTCTATTTTGCATGAATATATGCTTGTCATGGGAATCTTCGCGAGATACAATCCATCCCATATGGCGTGCAAATAATGGGCGAAGCCCGCACGATTTCTCCCAGAAATCTCGAAATGATGTTCCGGTAGGTCGAGAGCGTCGAGTCCGTGGGGAAGTCAATTGACTGCTTAATCGAAAAGACCGAAACCCATGTCTTCGTCGGACTCTTCCTTCTCTATTTATTGGGTTAGTAGGCTTTCTATTAATGAGAATATAGCAAAACATACCCTCAGCCTTCTCCTCAACCTTCTCCTCAGCAGCGGCACCACCGGAAGCGGCAGCTCCACCAGCAGCTGGGGCAGCACCGGCACCACCAGATGGGACGGATGCCAACTTGGAGGAACCCTCAGCGATCAACTAAATTTCACGTCAGATATTTGTACATGTGCGCATTTTCGATTGTGCTGACCTCGTTGATGTCCTTTCCGTTAAGCTCCTTGATGAGAGTATCGAGACGCTCTTGGTCGATCTCAATTCCAACGGACTCGAGAACGGTGGTGATGTCCTTAGCGGAAGGGGAAGCCTTTCCACCGATGGTGAGGAGGAGGTATGCAGCGAGATACTTCATTTTGAATGCTGTGCGCAAATCTTGTCAGTTTACAATTTCAAAGATGATCTTGGTGCGCAAAACAATGCAGCGAAGTATTCAGCGAGAGGAGGATCTTACATTTATTTGTTTCGTTAAAGAACAGGTATATCAATCGATTTAACCGCAAGAGACGGAGACTGAAATTTCAAGTTCTGAGAGTTTTGAAGTTTGTGAAAGATTCGATTGTGGATCTCAGATTCGATTAAAATCAAAAAGTTTCTTGTGTGGGCGAATGGCGTGGCGCTAAGCTACTCCTGTCAAGTCAGACACGTGATAACGAAATGGACTTAAATCCTTGCGATTGTCTGCCCGTTTGCTTTTCACATCGCCTCAACAACAACTCAAAGGAATAAGACAGATACCACAATTTTATCTGAAGGCGCAGTTATTTGTTATCTGGCGCTTTCAAATTTTATTCCTGCTGCTAGCACCATAATTATCAATTTTCATGTGCTGATGCACTACAAGAAGTCGGAAATCCACGCGATCTGCGTTTGAGTTGTTCATCCATCATCTTCTGATTCATTCTTTCAAATTTTCGGTGTATCACAAGCACATCATTCAAGATGCCGGTACGTCTGCTTTGTGCATTTGTTCACACTCTAGATAATCATTATACTGACTTAATCAAGATCGGTGATCTTCTCGCCCAGATTTCGGGGGGCCCAAGTCCAGATTCAACAATGACGATGCCGACCGCCACTCTTCCGCCAAAGCGGAAAGCAAACGATGACTTGAGGAAGCCGGTTGACAAACTTCAAAGGCCAAACACTGCTACTATATCGAGACCAATGACCCAAGCGCATCGTCCTACAGCTGTTGATATGAGTATGGGCAGGATGAAGATCGACACGAAACAACAAAGACCAACTCCGAGCTCGGCTAATACCGCCAACACCACTTTCAAAAACGGCCAGCCAACACCACCTCCATCGTCCACCGAATCAACAAAACCTCCCAAGAAAGGTTCATATGCGGAGATTTTGGCACGGGGAAAAGCTGCACAGGCTTCTTTGGGTCAGGTTGGAAAGATTCAACACAAACGCATCGAGAAAGCACCATCAAAGCGAGAGTCGGATAAACTAAGGACCCAAAAGGGGAAAACCATTCAAAAGGGACTAGAACCAAATTCCAAATTTCAAAGACCTGGCCAGGTTCCCGCTCGGAATGGACAGAGTGGCACGAATGGTACGAAGTCTGTTGGTGCCAAGGCTCCGCCACCAGCTGTTGAAAAGAAAGTCAAAAAAGCTGCAACAGCAACGACTGGATACACCGGGACTGCTCGCCCAAGACCAGGAGGTGGTGGTCCAACTGCTAACAAGCCAAGTGCACCTTCATATTCCGCTCGTAGTGGCAACGACCGATATAAAAATGGTAGAAAGAACCTCGATCGCTACTATGCTACTGATGAGGATGAGGATGAAGATGACATGGAGGGTGAAGTCGAGGAAGATGACTATGCATCCGATGTATCTTCTGATATGGAAGCAGCCACGTTCGAAGTCGATGAAGAAGAAGAAAAGGCCGCTGCTATCGCCAGGAAGGAGGATGCTGAAGCTCTTGCCGAAGAGAACAGACTCAAGAGGGATAAAGCTGAAAAGCGAGCACGACTTGCAGCTATGGCCAAGTCCAGAAGATGATGAATCGGTTAAGGGTATTGGCTATGGTTCTTAGGGATTTCTACGGGTGGGAACTTTTCAGGAATGCTATGGATGGATGCATTGTTTGAGTTTAGCGATTTGGAGTTTTGGGATGGGAAGACGAGATATACAGGCATTGCAGGCGTAACATATTTGGAAGCTGCTTTGCTGCTTTTCCACTTCGGTGGTAGTCCTACTTTCTATGCTTTGCAGCGCATTATGGTTACTAGAGGATCCTATTATAATGAAAGGCACCAATGGCGTGTACATGATTGTTTACTCTAATTCATCAAATTTTACGAATATCTTTGGTCGACCGAGCTTGAAATATGTGGTGGCATTCAAACATTAAGATGTCAAGTTGTCACTGCCAACTCAATCCATCTTTCCATTTAGCCACACATACACGCAAAGGTGTGGTGCCATCAAATTCAGTGTCAGTCAACACCCATACTTCAATATCTTACTACTATCTCTTCTACATGTTATCCTCATTGTTTGGTACCTGACTATGTACTTGTCCCAACGTTGACGTTCTACGCAGAGCTCCCGATTTATACTCTTCTATTTCGAAGGATGTCGAGGCCCAACAAGCACAAGGAAGACACACATCTCTCAATGACAAAATACACACACATGTTCATCGTGATATAAAAGACGAGTCATAAAAACAAACTAAATTGGTATCACAATCTCCCTCCATCTCTCTCAAAACTTTGTCACTTAAAATCCACCATGTCCTCCCCGTCCACCACCACCGTGTCCACCTCTCTCGCCTCCAAATCCTCCTCCGCCATGGTGTTCACCACCTGGCCCGCCAAATCCACCTCCCTGATGTCCACCTGGTCCACCGAATCCTCCTCCTTGGTGTCCGCCTTGGTGCTCCCCTCCAAATCCGCCTCCACCTTGGTGTCCACCTGGTCCGCCAAATCCACCTCCTTGATGTCCGCCGCCGTGGTGTTCACCACTGGGTCCTCCGTATCCTCCTTGTGGACCACCTGGTCCGCCGTATCCGCCTTGGGGTCCTCCGTTACCGCCCATGTGGTGTTGCTGAGGAGGGGGACTTGGTTCTATTCGTATGTTAGCATTTGCATTCGGGACTACTTAGTACTGTTTTGGGGAGAGGGGTAACGAACGCGCTCGCGCTCGCGCTTTCCCTCGACCTTGTGGATGACTTTGCTGATGAGTCCCATTGTGATTTTTGTATGTATGTATATGTATAATTGAGAGATATGTACAAGATTTGTTATTGTATAGACAGGTAGTTGAAAATGAGGAATTGAGTTTATATTTGAATAAGTCAGAAGAACTAGCAAGAGGAGGTATACACTACTATATATACCTACTTAGCATCCATTCCTCCGCTCATCCAACCCACTTTAATATCCCGACCTCAGTCTACATACCAAAATTCATCATCCATACCTTGGACCAATTTCTCAAATTCCTGCTTTGGCTGCTTGTTACGCTTGCATACATATCGCTGCATTTCCATCTACCCTGATTGCACCTATCCAGCCGCGACCAAAAAGCTTAACAGGAAGAATAGATGCGCAGCCCAAGACCCCTCAATTCCCATCCCTTCCCAGATCCTGCAATTCGGCAACCGGTGCCGTAGAAGCCCCTCCCCTCATCCCAGTATACTTCTCTCGTCTGCCACACAAACACGGCTTCCCTGACTAATAAATACCTACGTATTGTACAGCCACAGACAGTTAAGCCTCATGACACGATTGTGTTGTGGTTAGAGTCGTGGTGTGTAAGTGTCCTTGGCGGTGGGGATAACGTGCGGCCGAATGTTCTGTCGAGCTCTGGAATCCTCCGCGCGCAACAGCGAGTAGGAACCGAGGATCCGACATGGAATGGGATAGGGGAACGTCATTGTCACGTTTATGGATGATGGAAAATGTTTACGTCATGCATTGAGTGTTGCTTTTTGCGTCAGACGATCAGATTGACGAAAAAATTACGCTTTGACTTTACGAAGTATAGATATACCTATGTAGATAGGTATATGTGTAAAGAAGACGAAGTGATGAATCAAATTCGAAATCCCAAATATAAATATGTTGCGGTTGAATATCGGTGAAGCGAAGAAGTGGAACAGATGAGCGAGGTTTCCAGCTGAGGCAATGCACGGGAACATCCATGAGTTGGAGCTTCGTCGGGCGATACTCAAAGATTCATTTAAGAGGGGGACAAAAGAGTTATGCGACTGTATGTATTAATAGAAGCATCCATTGCGCTTGATATACGCGGATATGAATTTAGTATTACATATTAAATCCTCGACTCGTGCCCGAACGGCAATTCATTCCTACTATACATGTACCATAAATGCCGACTGGTTTTCTGGCCGTACAACTGTTCATAATTGCATTCAGTACCCCAAAAGGGCTTGTGTTTCAAAGATGCTTTTCCCCGCTGATAGCTGTTTCCCAATACGCCAACGGCCCCAAAACTCCACGATACTTGAAAGCATATCGTATTCCGATACTCTCGATTTTTATAACTTGTGAAAAATTGGCTTTTAGTCTGGTGGTGGTGCCGCATTCATAATTTTAGCCAACATGTCGATGTGTGAGATGAGATTGCCGTTAAATCCTTCTTCCCGTTTTGGCGTCCCTTCTGTATGCCAACAAGAACCCCATGTATCCTCATCCAAACTCCCCTCGAAATATGCAATTCGCATTGGCCAGTCCATCTTCGGCCACCACTCTTCCGGCAATAAACTAAAGATTCCTGTCACTTCTCTTTTCGCAACACCTTGGAGCCACCAGATATCATCAACAATACGTGTCATAGCAAAAAAACATGACACAATAACCAAAGCACGAGGATCCTGTCTCTTTAGTAGATCAATGTAACGACGTGTTACGGTAGCCGCAAAACTGAGAATTCGAGCTCGCTCTGGTTTTTGATGAGACCAGTTGAGCATAGCAACAGCATGTTCATATGCCTGCTTTGTATCTGCATCTATGGAGGCATCGTCCGAGTTCGATACATGGTCAATACCTTCGAGCAAAAAAGCAAAGAACCCTCGGCGCTCAGGATCAAAATCTAGTATTAATGGAGGCTGCCCATTGATGATCGGAAAGATTTTAGCCGAATTTCGTAACCAATGCCAGGAAGTAATAACGATTGTCTTAACTCCCTGGAAAGAATGGAACCAAGCGAGTGGTAGGACGTAACCACTGTCAGAATCCCCATCGATTCCATTCTCGACACAACGGGATGCCGATGCTTGGAAAGCGATGAGAGCAGCTGTACAGAAAAGCGCTTCTGCATTGCTTTGAGATGGGCCCTGGCTCAAAAGAGAAGAATATTGAGCAAGCGCTGATGCCATATAACTATGTGATGCACGTGCAAGACTTCGATCGTCAGGCTGTAATATGCGTAAGTGTAGAGCAGAAACGGCAAGGATGGCATCCATTAGATATGGGGAGTCATAAGCGAGTGATGGTACAATCACAGACCAGGCAACGTCCTGACTCTCATCATTAGAAAGAGTTTTCGAAGTCGTTGCAGTATAATGATGCATTAGCCTGAGCTCAAGTGATCGATCATGCATTGAGTTACCGTGAGCTCTGACTGTCATTGAAGGAGACCGGTAAAAGGGTATTATCGAAGAAGTGGTAGACGCCGGTGATGAGGCTTGGTTGACCGAGCCTTCGGAACTTTGATGGGCAAGCGTTGGAGGTTGGAAAGCTGGTGAATCAGGTGATGAGGGCATATCTCCAAAATCACAGGAAACGCCTGATGGCCATTGTCAACATATACTCTACTCTTCAGTGAAGATATACGGACCATGCTTTTTACAATTTCCACACAAAGGATGTTTTTCGTCACACTAATTCCAAATTAGCACGTGCTCATGAGCATCTCTGGATCCCAATAAGCATGGTTGATTACTTTGATTTTCCTGTGCTTGCATCTCTGACAGCCGGCTTTAGATTTCTTATGCGATCTTCTTGGAGGCATGTTGTGTTTTTGCTTGTTGAAAGACTAATACGGAAGTTGTAAGCTATCAGGGGTGGCGACCAGATAGACTATTTCGACAAATGTTCATATTGACAACGGATGGTCTTGGTTCAATTCATTCAGTGGAAATATGTGCGAAACTTTGTTTGGTGGGTGTTGGAGAGATACTGGTCAAAAGTAAGTGATTGATAGATATGGAAATTTCATCCCCGATTTGCAACGATTGTTTACCATCGAGCGCACCAGCGTTGTTTAAGTGCTTGAGTATCGGGCTTCGGAACATCGAGAATTGAGGGTACCCCTGCGGCGTCTGGCTTGTTCGATCACTTGTTTGCGATCTCATTGGTTCCTGATGGAGGTAAGTTAGTCAGCATCTCAGCCTTCTCCTGGATAGAAAAACTTCCGACAATTTTGTTGCTGAGATGAAAGTAACACGTGAGTCAGTGCCGGTTGGTGTGGGATTATAGAGAATCAGTCGAGTGTTTATTGAATTTATTCACACCATCCATCACCATCCATCACCATTTAACATCATTTGACCATAGTCGAGCGATAAAAACCGCACCTTGATGGCTACTAAAACTCCTTTGATGGCATTTCCATTGAGCCATTCTATTCTCTCCAGCTACCTAGGTACCTACTCTGTATAATCATCTCATCACGACTTTTAATCCGTCACGTTACTTGTTAACCTTAATTCCTATCGACAACGCATTTTTATATCTTCAAACTCACAAACTCAACATCAGTACAATAGAATACAACATTCAGATCTTATGTTTGCCTACTCAAGCATTCTCGTTCGACTACGTAATAACCTCAGCGACCTCCCTAATTGGGGTTCCAATAACCTAAAAGGTGTGTACATTAATTACAACACAACGAAAAAGATTGATAGTAGCTAGCGGCTCTACCTATACGAAGTACAACATCGATTTGTCATGATGTCTTCACATGATACATATCCTTTTTCACTCTCGAGCCTGCACATAAGCAGCCAAAGACCAACTTTCCTCCTGCCTTTTCTGACCTCAATATCTCCTTGTGAACATTCCTTCTTCTCATCTAGATAAATTGCGTGCTTTAGCCTCTGACTCAATACCTACCAAGGAAATAAATAAGTATATATATCTCTATGTTTACCCCCTTTGTTCCTTACAAATTAAGGTTTAGTTCTCGTCACGACATTCATCCTTCTTACATTATTACCAATTTGATCCATTTACCAAGACTCACTTACATATTTTCTTCGTCGACCGTACTTCCTAGTACACTAAAAGGAAAAACTATTTAACTAGAACTTCCCCGCAATTTTTACTTACTATATTTTCCATTCAATCTAATTTCTACTTATCAAACTTCTTTCCGTCTTTGGTTGCATAAAATTATTTGGAAAAAAGGAAAAAAGGAAAAAAAGGAAAGGGAAAAAGGCGAAAGAGCTCATCACCCCGCACTACCCCTCCAAAATGACTGTTCCAAACTTCGATCACCCCATTGAAACTCCTCCACGAGCCCCTTCTCCAGTTCATCGATTTGGTACTCTAGCAGTCCATGCTGGTTCCCCCCACGATCCTGTCACCGGTGCTGTCATCGAAGCCATCTCCCTCTCCACAACCTTCGCACAAACCGCCGTCGGAAAACCTGTGGGCGCATACGAATACAGCAGAAGCTCCAACCCCAATCGCGACAACTTCGAAAAGGCTGTCGCAGCTCTCGAACACGCAAAATATGCTCTAGCTTTCTCTTCTGGCTCTGCTACTACTGCCACCATTTTGCAGTCTTTAGCTGCCGGCTCGCATGTCATTTCGGTTTCGGACGTTTATGGTGGAACCCACAGATATTTCACACAGGTTGCTAAAGCGCATGGCGTGAAGGTTACATTTACACCAGAGATTGAGGTCGATGTCGTGGATCATATCACACCCGAGACAAAACTCATTTGGATTGAAACTCCTAGCAACCCAACTTTGCGACTTGTGGACATCAGAGCCGTAGCTACAGCAGCACACGAACATGGCATAATGGTTGTTGTTGATAACACCTTCATGAGTCCATATGTCCAACAACCATTGGACCACGGAGCTGATATTGTTGTTCACTCTGTTACTAAATACATCAATGGTCACTCCGATGTAGTGATGGGAGTAGCTGCTTTCAACTCCGACGCTATGAAGGAAAGATTGGGATTCTTGCAAAATGCCATTGGTTGCATCCCTTCAGCATTCGACAGTTGGCTTGCTCACCGTGGCTTGAAGACATTGCATCTCCGAGCCAGAGAAGCTACAGTTAACGCAACAATAGTAGCAAAGGCATTGGAAGCTTCACCACACGTTATTGCTGTCAACTATCCTGGCTTGGACTCCCACCCACACCGAAAAATTGCTCTTAAGCAACACAGAGATGGCATGGGAGGTGGTATGCTTTCTTTCCGTATCAAAGGAGGTTCCGCTGCAGCAGAAAAGTTTTGCCAAATGACTGGCATCTTCACATTGGCCGAGAGTCTGGGAGGAGTCGAGAGTTTGGTTGAAGTTCCTAGCAGCATGACCCATGCCGGTATTCCCAAAGCTCACCGAGAGGCCATTGGTGTGTACGACGATTTAGTCCGTATCAGTTGCGGAGTTGAAGATGCAGAGGATCTGAAAGCGGATGTTTTGCAAGCCTTGGAGAAAGCTGTTGTCTGGCCTAAAATCTCTAACGGTCTACAAAACCACGCTTCTTAAGTCCCGGATTGGGGCGTGGATATTGTTCTTGTTAGAAGAGCCGCACGCAAATGGATTTGCGAATGCGTAGGCGCTGGCGTTGGGGCATAGTTCGAATACCTCTTATCTCTCGAAATGCTACATCTAGGTGATAAAACAAATTTATATAGATTTCTTTGCATGATTTAGTCTTGTGGGTTTCCTTTTCAAGACTTGGAAATTAGACAAAAATTAAATTTTCAACACAATATTGGTTACCACAATCAGACAGATACTACGTGAACATGTGCAAATCCTTCAGCAGATATGACATCTCACGACTTAAATACCCAGGACAAACTTGACCCCTTTACTGACATTATCCAAAAATTCATCTCCACCCTTGATACCGGGGAAAAGCCAAAAATAATGCGGCACCCCCTCATAATAATCACTCTTTGTCTTGATACCCTTATCCTTCAACATCATTTCCAACACCTTACCATCATCCCGCAAAGGATCTTTTCCACACGTCGCGATATAAGTCGGAGGAAATTCCTCCAAATGTTTCGAGAGCGTCACAACTAAATCCATACAGAATATATATTAGTCCATCTCCTCAAATCAAAAGTATCAAACAATAACAACCCAAGAACCAAACATGTAAACACAAATACATACACACTCTCGGATCCTGCGGATCCGCCCCCACAGCCCCAAAAAACGTATTCATCGTATCCGCATCAATAATCGGTACGCCGTGCGCATTCTCATCGTAGGATTGATAGTGATTTTTGTACGACGCGGGGATCGAAGATGGGTGTGCGGCGACGGGGACCATGGCCACGATACCTTTGATTTGCGATCGCTTACCCGCGGCGATGAGATCGTGAGCGACGGTTAGAGCCAGACCGCCTCCGGCGGAGCCGCCGATGGTGAAGAGTTGGGAGGCGGAGGCGTGGAGCTCCGAGGCGTGGGTGTAGGCCTGTAGTGGGGCGTGAGTTGTTGGGGAATGGGAAGAAGAGCGGGGAATTGTGGAGAGAGGGAGAGGAGAGGAGAGATAAAGATGGAGATGGAGAATTGGTAATAGAGAAATTATATACATACCCATTCAAAAGCCTTGACGCTATCATCCAACATAACCGGAACCTTATGTTTCGGGCCTAATCTATAGTTCACACTTACAATCACACAAGGAACACTCTTTGCGATATATCGACACCACACATCCTCCGAATCGAGGTCTCCAACGCAATATCCACCTCCGTGAAAATACACTCCCAGAGGAAGTTCTCCACTCTGGGAGGCATTTGAAGAAGGCGTGTATATACGAACCGGAACCCCGTCTGCGGAAGCATCACGAGTTTGAACCGAGGTGTTGGGAGGGGGTCTTTGAGCATTCAGCGCTGCGACTAGGCCGTTGAATTGCTCTTCGATGTTGGCCGAATCGCCTACGAGAAGGGGACGGGTGCCGAGAGCTTTTTCAAGCTGCGAGGATCGAAGTTAAATATGTAGTTTGAGGGGGAAGGGGGCGTGTCGCAAGGAGCTTGTCATGATAAATAGGAAGGGATGTTTACCTCGAGCCATTCGGGCTTGTAATCTGCACTGGATGGATCTCCCATTGTATAGCTTATCTTTGTAGTTTGGAAGTTTGAAGTGGGGATGGAAATAAGAATTTACAGGTTTGGGGAAGGTCTAGGATTTCAATCGAATACCTGAAGTATGCCAAAACACACATGAAGGATATAGCACAATATATACCTGCAGAATTTCGAGATTACAAATACTTGAATTCAACGACGGGATGAAGGGAATCTAGTAGCCTTAGTTACCCTGCCATGCAACTCTCCAGCGTGCCACATGCTTGCAGGCGCGACCATTCAGTTACTCGGACCAGCGCGGGACAAAATAGCCGAGCTGAAGAATCCGTTGCACGGACACATGGATAGACTTCACTTCACTTGGCTAATTATATACGTATTTAGATCAAGCTGCGCAGTGCGGGGTAATTTAGCGGCAGCTTTAGGACTTCGACTCTGTGCTATCCCAGTTTAAGGATACTACAGCATACCTACGATAAGTCTTACTTTGATTAGTTGCTCGAGGAAATTACAACCAGTTCGTCCCATAAATCTAAACCTGTCTTCACTTCCTGCGCCAAATAGAACGCCCTAACGTGTAACCTTGTTCGAGTTATACCCAAGAACTCCCAGTAATTTGAGTTATATAAGCCTTCAGATGCGAATGAATAGTCTGGTCTAGGAAGATCTCGAATGTAGCACCCTAAGACATATCAAAGTGACAATTTTATTTATTTATCTATGTCGAAATCAGACGCTTTGTTTTTCACAGCCACTGGACTTTTCTTTTCTTTTGTTATAATTGAGTTGATATTCCCGCCCAAGTAAACACTTGAGGCAATAGAAAAATAGAAGTTGTTAATTTCCAAAAGGTAGCAATCATAAGAGGTTACGCAACAGTGTCCAAGAGGTATAACGGGCCAATAAAGTACTCATTTATAAGCCTGTTTCTAAGTATCGGTTGTACTTCTCTGAAAGCTCTATCATCTGATATCCCCAAGCTGCTTGGCACCTCTGCCAATTCAAGCATCTTCACTGAATTTTGAGAAATGTTTTTTTTTATTTTTCAAACTCACATTCTAGACTAATTAATTAAATTTGATACCCACTGACTCTATTACCTTCCCAAAAAGCCACAGAAACTATAATACATTCAATTTGGTGACTCTCAGCAAACTTGCCATCGATTCCGTACCCGTCAGCTGTAAAACTTGCACAAGAGTATCAAGTATTGTGTTTTGTGTGGGATGTGATGAAAATTGTCATGATGTGAAAAAATGTTTGCTTTTCTGGAGTGAAATGTAACTAATACAATGAAAAGCCTGCGCGAATAAAGAAATCTCGAGAGGCCAACGAAGTCGTGATCTCAAAGGACTGTAGAAGTGTACAGGTGAAAAGAAGAAAAAGGAAAAACCCCCTCAACTCTCCGCCGGTCCCTCCCCCAATCAACTAAATTGAAATACAAAGCAAGAATTACAAGGTATAGACTACCTAGCATAAAGGTTTCGGGTATCAGACTTTTGATGAGTACTCGCGCTTTGCCGATAGTAGTGGATGAAAGTGAAACATCAAACTCATCAAAACAATGACTTTTCCCTGATCTCTTCAATCTGCTCCGTCACATTGACTACCAATACATATCGAGTAGGTACCGGGTGTGCACGATATGTGACAGATTGCAACCGATTGAACCCAGAAAAAATGCCTCCATAGAAGATCAAACCTCTCCATACTCGGGTGCGTCGGCGTAATCATTTTCCTCAGTTTTGGTTTCGGTTTCTTCTGCTGGTGGTGCACCAACAGAGGAGTTCTCTGGCATCAAACCCTTCTCCTTGAGGTACTTGATAGACTTCAAGATTGTCAAATCATCCTTGGCCGTGTCGTTAAGAATGAGACGTTGAGCAATAGTCATCTTACCACCATTCAGCTCCTTCTCTCGCAAAGCTTGATTGCGGACGTCTAAGTCGTGAACGAAGCGGCACTTGCCCTTCTTGCCGCAGGTGCCACCAGTAGAATAGTACTTGCAGTGACGTTGAAGCTGAGCTTTCGTTGGCGGTGCTCGTGCGTGCACGATACCGTTAAAACCATTGTTGCGCGATGTCATCGTTTCCGGTTTCCCCGAGTCAGAATTAGATGAAGAATCATCATCATCACTCACTTGACCACGATCTTCATCGCCTTCGTCGCCATTTTCACGCTTGCGCTTTCCACCGGACATCTCCTGTTTGATCTTACGTTCAGCTTTCTCAAGTTCTAGTCTGAGCTTCTCGGCCTTGCGTTGCTGTTTTTCGAGCTTGGTCTCTCCCTCATCCTTTTTAGTGGGCTTTGCTTCAGGTTCTTTCTTGAACTTGTGATTCTTGTTTTGTTCACGTTTCAAGCGAAGCTCCTCAGCAGCGGCTTCTCTACGAGCTTTCGTAGGGAAGCGGCTTTTACGCTCAGCCAGCCATGCCGTGAGATCTGCAGGTAACCTAAAATTCATTAGCAAAAAGAACAAGAAGAACTAATCTTCTAGGCCTGCAAAAACATACTGTGGAGTATCTGGACCAAGCAAAGTAACCAAACGAGCTTCTTCATCAACATCATCAATCTCATCATCGCTATCCTCATGATCCACACCGTTTGGTGTCAAACCAAGAGTATTTGTTCTGCGCTTCTTCTTATTCTTCTTCGCATTGTCTCCTGCACCTGCAGGCTTGAAATGCATTGGAGGAGATTGTGAATTGCCATTGAAAGAACGATTGTTGTCGCGACCGCGAAATTGAAAATTATCACCGCGACCTCTACCTCTAAAGTTCCCATTTCCTCTGCCCCGATTAGAGCTGGAGTTGAATGAATGAGAATCATGCGATGGACGCTGTCCTCCATGACCTCCATTAGAGAAGTTTTGTGGGGGATATGCTTGATAAGCAGGCTGAGAAAACGGAGCAGGGGGAGTCTGATGATTGGAATATTGGGGGGTAGGAAAACCATTGCCCGCTTGAGCCATATGATCTCCACGTTCGTTCTCAAATCCCATGCGGATCGGAGGACCCATGAGAGGTGCTTCATGACCGCCACGGCCATTGTTGAAACCGCCACGACCACGACCTCTATTATTATTGAACTGATGTTGTCCTTGAGGTGGACCTTGCCATTGTTGAGGTGGGCCACTAGGGTGTGGTTGCTGAGAAGGTGGGCCATAGGGTTGTTGAAATGGTGCAGGTTGCTGTGGACCATATTGTGGTGGTGGCTGTTGATTGAAGCCCTGTGGGGCATAATTTGGATGGTAGTTCTGCGCAGGAAGAGGAACTTGAGGTGGTGGCTGGTGTGCTTGTTGAGGTGGACCGTGATTGTGCTGAGGTGGACCATGCTGACCCTGCTGTTGCCATTGCTGAGGATAATTATTAGGGGGGCCGTTGTGGCCAGGACCTTGGGAGCCACTCGGAGGTCCTATGTAAGGTGCTGGATTATGCGGATTGTATTGGTCGCTTGGAGGACCCTGTATCTGCGGAGGACCGTTGTAACCATTTTGATGTGAGTGAGAAGGGCCATTGTGACCGCCTCGCGCTCCACCTCTTGGGGGGCCATTATTACGCGTCTGTTGATATGGAGGAGGTTGCTGATATCCATACTGAGGGGTTTGTTGAGAATACCCAACAGAAGGTGGTCCTGAAGGAGGAGGAGGAGGGGGAGGGAAGTTGTACTGCTGCGTACCAGCCATAACGACGTCGGACTTCGAGTTGTTGCGTTGATAAGGTGGAGGTTGATCGGGAAGTTGACTTAAATAATGTGAAATCTTCAGAACATGTATATTCTGCGCGGCAGGGGTTTGGTTGATTATAGGTTGACTGTACTGAACAGATGTTGGCCCTGAGTTTGAAAGTTGTCGCAAACTGTTTTGTGCTGGTGGTTGGATCTTCGTTGCACCGTATCGACCAAAAGGATTGCCAAGTATTGGAATGGGGGCTGCTACGTATTAATTGATGAAACCCGATGGCTCAATGAAAGAATTATTGAAAAGGGATGATGAAGCAAGATGGAAAAGAAGGCCGCCTCGCGCAATTATGATTTGGTCGGGAGGACATCTCTCTTATTATTTAGTGTGGAAATTGTCGCACGACATGAACCAATAGAAATTCTCCCTAACTAGGGGAGCTTGGCTGGATTATGTAATGCTCTTTTCCATCGATCTTTCGATCATGAAGTTGAAGAGATCTTGGGTGAATTTTGGGAAAACTTTGAAGAAACAATAACATACCCATTTTGAGTATTTCCTCCGTTGTTGATGATACCCAGGTAACTTTAGAAAGAACTTTTCAAGAATAAAGTTGATCTGGTAGAAGAAGAAGAAGAAGAAGAAGGAGAAGGAAAAATTGAGGTAGTCGGAGAAGATTCTTTATTTAGATCCGAGAGTTGAATTTTGTTCAATTTATGATACCCGACTGTCCTACTTGATGAGTTCGCAAAAGTGAATATTCAGAGGAACCACGCAATCTTGATCTAGGTAGTCACGTTACATTCTTCTATTTTAGTTCAGTTGATTTTATTTCATTCACTTTCAGTTGGTGGCTCGTTGTTGAAGTAGCATCAGCCGTACAAAAGGAAAGAACTATCATAGAAGGAGCAAGGCACAAGAAGCAAAAGCATTTTTTGACTTGGCCAACAATCAGCGCGGTATATCATCATGTTCATTCTCGTGAGTCTTTCTTCTCAAATCCTGGGGGAGAAATCATATTCTAACTTTTTACAAAGACCAAAATTGCTGATTTAGTTCAAATCGCGCCTCAAGATTTGGGGAAAAATGCTAGTCAAGCAATTGAGGATAACATCAACCTTAAATATGCCAACAAGGTGATTCAGAAGATTGGTCTTTGTATCTGCTTTTATGATCTTCTCTCGGCCTCGGAAGGCTTGATTGGTCATGGTGATGGTCTTGTAAATGTCAATGGTACATTGTTCCTGGGAGTCAGCACAGCATTTTATGTTTTGCTAACCACTCAGCAGTTGAATTTCGCATCGTCGTGTTTAGACCTTTCAAATTTGAAATCATGACAGGAAGGATTAGCAGTTCTATTGAGAGTGGTATTAGAGGTTAGTATATACGTGTGTAGGCTGATCAAGCTTCGCTAACAATATCAAGTTCGGACTCACTTTTTTGATGAAATCTTCGTCCCCGCAAAAATGCTACCAGACGGTTCACACTTGTAAGTCGACCTCGTTCGTCCCTTCTCCATTTTGGTTACTAACAATCACCCAGTAACCACAATGAGCAAGTTTTCATCTGGGAGACCGAAGAAGGTACACAACTTTACTTCGATAACCAGGAAACAGTGCGATTTCGGGTCGACTCCGAGCAATGGAATGATCAAGCACCACTGGGCCCTGAAAAGCAAGATGACAGTGAGGAATCACGAGTAATTGAAGCGCCTTACAAGATAGTAGCTTCGATGGAAGAAGTTGGATTGGGGCCTTGCTTATGGTGGGACTAAGGAGAAACGGACGCACAAGAAGTTTCAAGGGGGCCAAAACAATTATGTGGAGCAATATCATATGCATTTCTGGAGTTTAGGAAAGAGTCTAGGATCTGGAGTTCATTGAAATTCGATAGGCTCTTCAGGGCTGTTCTCAGGTATATCAGAATTTAGAAGGAGCAACTCCGACAACTAAGATTGGCGCTAGTCCAAGGGCTCTTTTAAATCCACTATCGTGACTACATTCTATATAATAGTTTGTGTACTAATACTATTCAAAATTCTGCAATATTTTATGGCTGCCAAAATTTAGGGACAGATTCCGCCGTGGGCATAAATATCTTTCGTGATTGCACAAAGCTTTGTCACCATCTTGGTAACCATAAGACAAACACGCATACGAACTCTATACAATGAAAAACTTTCTTTGGAGCAATATGTACGGGTATTTTTGTAATTGGGGTTTCAACGCTTCTTCTCTTCGTCTTCCTTGTTGAACTTCTCATAATGTGCTACCAACTTCTCCATATCTCTAGCTCTGTGACCTGCTGGAACGTTCCATGGGGATCCTGTGTTGAATTGTCTGTAGAAAATCAGCTTCTGGATTAGGTACTGGAGATATTGAGACCAACTCAGGGAATCTAAGATTGACATGTGCACTGCCCACATCACTCTGGAAAAGGTTGCGGTCGAAAGCAGCTTGTTCGAGCATAGAAACATGTAGCGCATTTCTTGCGGCCCATTTCTCTTTATAGTGTGAATAGCTATCGATCAGCTTCGCGAGACCAGAAGGAGATCCGTCGGCGGATGGTTGGGCGTATTGGTAAACTCCAATCGAGACAGGGATAGCTGCGAGGACAAGGAAGAAGCCGGTCTATATCGTGATTAGTCGTATGACTTATTTAGGAGACAATCGAAAGCTCACTCCGAAAGACTCGTTTGTTGGGCCCGCATGATGATGTCCATGTTCTGTACTCGATCCAGCAAAGTGATGAACCTCATCACCGGTTTTTCCATGTTGTGCAGACGACCATCGTCGCGGAACTCGAGTAGATACTCTTCCAACTCGATCGGCAGATTGAACCGCCTTTCTCCTGAGCGCGAACATTTTGTTGTGTATTAATTGACGTTCAATATGTCATTCCTAGAGGTCGTTGTGTTTGGAAGTCCCTCCAATTGATGACCTTTGATGACTAATGAAGCCTCAGGCACTCAGTCGAAGGACCCCACAAATTGATTAACCCTCCGAAGGCAAAGGATAGCGAAACGATTGAATAATAAATCTGTACTTATTGTTTGAAGGCCACTTGTCCTTACGATGACTACAAATAACCCAGTAGATCACCACCTTACTCTTATTGATGCTTTAAATCTGGAAAGTGAATCAGAAGACTCAAATTCAGCAGAATCTCTTGCTTCATTAGAAAGTGATACCGAAGAACGACCACCCGAGAAGATACTCACTGAAATAGTGGGGAAGAACAACCATATCTGGTATCTCGTCAAGTGGAAAGATTGTCCTCTTTTACGTTCCAGCTGGGAAGGAGAATCGTGTTTTGAAAATTATCCTTGGGTTTTTGATCAGTGGCTAGTTAATAAACAGGGCCAAAAAGAAGGAAAAATTCGGCCTTTTGACTTGCAAGCTTTCGATCAAGCCTGCAAGGACCTCGACCTAGCAGAGAGGCAGCGAAGAATTCTGAGACGGTTCAGAAGAAAAGCTAAACGACTTTTATCGATTGTAGCTGATTGAATAAGTCATTTGAAAAGAGTTACTATTTCACTCGATACATTTCATAACAATTATAATCTAAAATGGTTATGGTAGGAACACGCAGCATACTGAGCCTGGCATGGCTCAGTCTTCCAATATTTGCGAGGGCATTGTCGATGGATCCAGAGGCCTCACCATCCGCAGATACTGAGCTCATATGTCCTACAAATAATCAAGCTGAATGTTACCCCCGAATCTTTCAACCAACGAGAGACTTCCAACTCATCAAGCCTGGACAAGATATTCCACCAGGCCTTCACGTTCGGCTAAATATATCTTCTGGCTTGAAAGAAGCTCGCTTGAATATTCCAATGGAAGGTGATGATGTTACGCTGGAGCTTGACATACCTACAGAACAAGCCATGGTCGTCATTGAAGATGCCGAAGTTGAAATCTCGGAAGACCTGCAGCCACCCTCGAACGCACCAGCGTACAGCGGCCATGGGAAGATACAGCCCCCACCACCCTCATCGTCTGACTTTGAATCATTCCGGACTTCTCTTGCCTCGTTGAAAGAGCAAGATGCTTCCCTCGATTCGGCTTTGGTTTCACTTTCGGAACTGTCACACGACATTTATTACGGATCTGAACTTATGGCCGATGATGAGGCAGTTTCTGCCCTGATATGTCTCATGGCCATGGAATCCTCGAGGCCTGGAGATGAAAATGACCATTCAGCCTCCGCCGCTCTCTCCGGTTCTCTACAAAACAATCCTACTGCCATCGGCTCCCTTTCCCTGTTTCACGATATCGTTATGAAACCTACTTGTCCTGTCCTTCGTGAAAATGGACTAAGTCTTATTCCTGCACTCCAGAAGAAGCTGTCAGCCTCCACAACATCACCTTCATCTCTCAAATCTCAAATTTCAGCCCTTAGTGGCCTCTTGAAATCGCCAGAAATCCAAAAGTCTTTCCTTGAGCAAGATGGCACTTCATACCTGCAGTCCGTCTTCTTGAAGTCTGGATCTCAATATGACGTCGTTCGAAAACGTGTTGTACAGCTTTTGATGGACAATTTCCTAGATGATAGCATGGGGGCGCGGATAGGTGTTTGGCCGAAGGTAGATGTAATCCAGAAGGGGGAGAAGGATTGCAATGGTGACGTTATCAATGATGAGTGTTGGGCTTGCTATGGGAAAGAGTTTTATGGAACGGAAGGTGGAAGAAAGGAATGGATGGACGAATTTTTGGAAAAGATAAGTCAGGGTAGTCAGAGCGGGGGGAGAGACAGGGAATTATAAATACAGATGTAACACACGCCTGTTTATGTATGAATTTATATACAAAATTGAATTAATGGCCAATCCACTTCCAGAGGAACCGCGGCTGGCAATTTCCTTGTGACAAATAGTAATTTGTGCTGCGTTGCGATTCAAGCTTTTCCCCTAACGTGAAAGATATGCGAAGAAACCGGCTTCCCGGCCATCAGATGTACAGGGAGGATATGAAAAATATCACGGTATTCTCACCTCGGAAGTGAAACTTCGCATACCCACGCCCCAGACGACGCCATGTCTTGCGGACAACTGATTCTAAGATTTCATAGAACTTCTAGCCAATCCTACTATCCAACATACTTTCTCAAGCACATTCAGCGCAACCAGCAAAATCCGGTATCATGAAAGAAAGAGGTCTTGGAGGCTTGGCAAAATTGTGGTAATTGAATCGGGAAGAAACTTAAACATGATATGCAAATTTAGAAGAAACATCTGAAATTCTGTCATCACTGTTGTGGTGCAGAGCTCCCGGTGAGGCAGTTGACATTTACACTCATCTGGACCGTGCCCGCTCAACACTTATGCCTGAGGCACAACATACCGACATCATCACTTTTGGTGGTGGTCAACTCCATTTTCGAGACTCAGTACTCTACAAGCTCTCTACAATATCGAACCTTGCTTACCAGCTTCCAGTCTGCAAAAATGTTGTTCTTCAGGTGAGTGCGATCCCACAAGCAGCTCCGAAGTTGCAGCAGCTAATATTTCTCCACTACAAATAGCTTCTTTAAAACCTTGGTAGATCACGAAGTTACAGTCGAGCTCAAGAACGATATCCAGATCAAAGGCATATTGAAATCGGTAGACCAGTACCTAAACATCAAGCTGGATGACATTCAAGTGGTAGAGGAGCTTAAATACCCACATCTGGTCAGTAGTCCAGCATGGGCGACAGCAACGCAATGAAATGCGATGGGCTATGTGCTTCGAGTTTTGTGATGCTAATGATGCGCGCATAGTCATCGGTCAAGAACGTTTTCATAAGAGGAAGTGTCGTCAGATATGTACATCTTCCTGGCGGCGTAATCGACACAGCACTTCTGGAAGATGGTAGGTCCCCTATACTGACCGAATACTATGTATGGAGGCTAATGATCAATGATAGCTACTAGGAGAGAGGCCGCACAACAGGCGACTAAAGGGAAATGAACGCATACACTCAGAGCGGAAGATAAGTTGATGTGAATGCTTTTCCTTCGTGGGAAGGATATACGCTATAGATGATATTGAGAAGGCGGATGGGAAGAGGGGCATGATCAGCAGGATAGGCACTGCGACCGGCCAACTCAAACCATTCTATATGTTAATGAAGATTTATGGGAAAGCAAACACGGAAAAGTAAGTTCAGCAATACGTTGCTTCGAATTGCTTGGGTTGTAAGGAAAAAACATCAAAATTTCATAATTCACCCCAAATTCGCTGAAAGTCTCAAGAAAAGACACCTCGAAAAGTACTGTATGAAGTTGTTTGTGCTTTTATAAAATCCAAAAATCCATGGGAATTTATTATTGGTTCTGCCCCTCCAGATTTGTGAATATTTTGTCGTTCCATGTCAGGTGATAGCGTGGACCGCGCACTACTTTTCGTGATTTCTTATCAGACCAACTCAGATGAATCGCCTCTAGACAATCTATCTTTCTTCGGAAATACTTTTACGGGTTCAAGTAACTTGCCAATAACTTCGGGGTTATAACAATTGATTAAACTCGATTCGAGACTTCCTCATTCTTCAATGGCCTAGATAAAGCAGTCTTAGCTTTGCCCTTCACCCTGCATCTTAAAATACAAACAAACAACTACCGATGGCAAACGTTGACACTTCACAATTCTAATACCGCACAATTGTAAAATACTATGTTTCGGAACCCCCGAGAGAACTCAGCTAAATCTACCGACTCTCATTTGAAACCATCCACCGGTAGACCACCCACGCCACCCGGCACTCCCTCAATTCCTCGACCGGTAGTTACAATGGCCCCTCGAAATACAAACAAACCGACTACCCCGCGACCTGCCAAAAATTCCATTGTCTCTGCTTTCAACAAGCAATCA